GCAGCCCTCACCCGCGGTCCCCACGCCGCTCATTGGCCGCCGCCCCCGCAGGGCCCGCCCCGCGCGCGGGCTGAGCCGCTTAGGGGCCGACGGGCGCGCCTGCTCGGGGGAGAGGGGAGGGAAGGGTCGAGGGTCCAAGCTCCCCCTTCCCTCCATTCCGGAGACCCGGCTTCTAGTCTAGGTTACCCCACGGGAGTGAACCATATGATCGTGGAAGGGTGGTTGCCCTTCTCTGGACCTCTGCGTCTGTGACTGTTAAAAGGGGGTTGCAGGGAGCACCTGCAGCACCTGCTCCTAGCTGCACCTGTGCCTACCCTCCGCTTTTACACCCCATTCCCAAGATCCCAGTTTTGGAGTGGGCACTGGAAAGATGATGATGGTGGTGGTGGTGGTGGTAGTTTATTGAGTGCTTACTATGCACCGGGCAGTGTGCTAGGGGCATTTTAAAGCCCCTTATCTCATTTGATTCTCCTGACAACCCTGGTATATCCATTGTACAGAGAGAGGAACTGTCTCAGAGAGGCAAATCTCTTCTAGGGTGACTTGCTAATTATAGGCAGAGCTGGATTCAAACCCAGGACTCAAAGACCAGATTTCCCCGTGTCTCTTGTGTCCATTTCTTCTCATTTCCTGGGCCACTGGAATCATCAAGACCTGGTTCAAGTCTTGGTTCTTCCACTTACGGGCAGAGGGAACTTGGGCAACTGACTTGGCTTTCCTGTGCCTCAGTTTTCCCATTTTACAAAATGGGAAGATGTACCCTTATTCAGAGGGTTGGTGTAAGGCTTAGCTACTCATATCTCCTAAAAGATTCTGTGTATGAACACTTCGTGTGTATTATCCTCATGGCATGCTTGGGTGAGTAGGTAGAACTAAGTCCCATTTTGCAAAACACTTAACTGAGGCTCAGAGAGATGAACCCCTTGCCCAAGGCCACACAGACACTAAGTGGCAGACTCAGGATCTGAACTCAGGCTCTTAACAACTCGTATATATTTCCTCACCCAGGAATCAGGGTCAAATATCACCTGGGATTGGTCCCTTTTCCAGTCCTGAACTTCTTGCCCACTTCTGTCAATCAGAAGGGAGGGACAAGAGCCTTTCGGAGGCCTCTATGGCTCTGGGGTTTGATGGGCTCTGTTTCCACCATCACATTAGTGGCCTGCACCCTCAGCTGGACTCTGTCCTCCCTAGAAGGTTTTTCTTCATTTCAGCTCATGTTGACCTTGAACTTCTAGGTCCAGGGGAAGGGTTAGTGAGGCATGGGGGGCACTTGTGGAGCTCAGGGCAGTGGCTGTTTACCAACTGGTACACAATCATCTCACTATTTTACCCACCAACATGGCTATAATTATGTGTCCAGGTGAATGTCAAGCATTCCCCAGGTCTAAAGACTTGGAGAGAGGGGACGGGCGAGGTGTTGGGGGACACAGGGGTGCTCCAGACCCTCCCAGCACTGACTCTGCCCCTCTCTCCTCTTAGCCGGCTCCAGTGCCCAGACCCAAGCCCCCCCACTGCTCAATGGACACCCCCAGCCCAGACCCGTTGCCTTCGCCTTTGCCCAGGGAGGAAGAGAAACCTCTGGCCTTACCTCCTCCTGTTCCCCGGGGCCGTCGAGGCCGACGTCCCGGGGGGGCCACCTCCTCGAATCGGACGCTCAAAGCCTCCCTCCCTCGCAAGCGGGGCCGCCCCCCCAAGTCAGGGCAGGAGCCCCCGCTGGCGCAGGGAGTGACAGCCCCAGTGGGCAGCAGTGGTGGCAGCGACCTCCTGTTGATCGATGATCAGGGTGTGCCCTATACAGTCTCTGAAGGGTCAGCGGCAGGTGGGCCTGAGGGCTCTGGCCCCAAGAAGGCCCCGCACTTCTGCCCTGTGTGCCTGCGGGCCTTCCCCTACCTCTCCGACCTAGAGCGCCACAGCATCTCGCACTCAGAGCTGAAGCCGCACCAGTGCAAGGATTGCGGCAAGACCTTCAAGCGGTCCAGCCACCTGCGGCGGCACTGCAACATCCATGCCGGCCTGCGGCCCTTCCGCTGCCCACTCTGCCCCCGCCGCTTCCGCGAGGCCGGTGAGCTGGCCCACCACCACCGCATCCACTCCGGGGAGCGTCCCTACCAGTGCCCCATCTGCCGGCTGCGCTTTACAGAGGCCAACACGCTCCGGCGCCATGCCAAACGCAAGCACCCGGAGGCCATGGGGGTACCCTTGTGTCCCCCGGACCCAGGGCCTGAACCGCCGTGGGATGACGAGGGCATCCCAGCCACAGCAGGGGCCGAGGAAGAGGAGCCGGAGGGGAAGGAGTCAGCCTGACCCACACCGCCGGCCACTGCTCCCTGGGCCAGGGCCAGGTTTAGAGTTGGCAGTTGGGCTGGTGCTGGGCCTGGGGAAGGGGGCCGGGGCACCTTTGTTTCTGAAGGTCTTCCCGTTGTGGGAGGGGGTGAAGGGCGGAGACCTAAACTTCTGGGTCCTGCTGCCTTCTGCCCGCTTCTTCCGGACTGACAGGCCCTTGGAGGCAGGGGCTCTGGAAATAAATCTCTGCCTACTGGCTTCCTGTGTGTGTTCAGTGACCGTAGCGGGATGACTTTCCTCTTCTCCCTTCAAATGTTCTTCCTCGGAATTTGAGAGGACCCCATGACGTGTGCCTCATTAGCGTGGCGCCAAAAATGATTTGAAGGAAGCCTTTTCCCCTCCCCCGTCTCCATAGGACCCCAGAGTACAGTCATCCCTTGTCCCTCGGTATACGCGGGGGATGGGTTCAACGACCCTCGCATGTACCAAGATCCACGCATACTCAAGTACAGCAGGCGGCCCTGCGGAACCCGCTTTTGTGAAAAGTCCGCCCGGGGTATTCACGGGGTTCGCATCCCGCAAACACTGTTTTCTGTATTCGTCTTTGGTTGAAAAAAATCCGCCTGTAAGTGGAATTGTGCGATTCAAACCCATATTGTTCAAGGGCCAACTGTACTCCCAGTAAATATCCAATCTTCTATGCAACGTTGAATCTTCTATGCAAAGGTGACTCTAGGTCCCGCCCCCTCCTCTCCGTCCCAGCCAAATTCCCAGAAATTGTGCGGCCAACATTTTCGCCCCATCTCTATGATCTGAGGACCCACTGGAAGGAGAAACTGAGTTGAAGATGTGAGCAGGACTAACAATTTCGGTAAGTCTTAGAGAGATAGGGGTGTGGCTTAGGGAGAGGGCGGGGCTGAGAGGGAGAGGCAAGGCTTATTGGGCTGGTTAGGCCAGAACTAGGGCGAGTCTTAGAAGGCTCAGAATTGGGGTGGGGCTTAAAGAGGTTAAGGGGTTGGCCCGCAGAAAGTGAGAGAGCAATTTATAGGGCATGGATAGAGTTTATCTGAGGGGCGGGGCTTAGAGGGGCGGGGAAACTTAGACCCGGCTATATAGATGGGACTTAACTGTTAGGAGAAGGTGCTGAGGTGTGGGCATACTGGTACTCAGGCCATGGGAAGAGAAGGCAGTATTTAAGAGAGGAGGCACTAAAGGAAGTCCCTGAGAGAGTGGAAGCCTAGCAGGAGGGACCAAATAGGACTGGGCTTAGATGCTTGGCGTGGGACTGAGTTGGCAGCGAGGTTTATAGAGATTATACGAGAGGGCAATGTAAAGTGTGGTAAAGCTGTGATTCTCGAAATCAGCATGCATCAGAATCGACTGAAGGGTATTTCAAACGTGGATCCCTAGGCCCCACCAGCATGGTTTCTGTTCAGTACGTCTGGGCCACGGAGCCAGATAGGATATTGATGCCGCTGGCCTCTGAACTGTACTTCAGAAATCAGAAGCACTGATTTAAGGGAATGCTTTAGAGGTACGAGGCAGAACTATCCCATAAATGTTATGAGGTGCAGCTTAAATGTGGGTGGAAGGGCGGGGCTTAAGTGCAAGGGGCGTGGCTCAGCCTAAGTAACTTTGAGAGGCGGGGCTTGGAAGAAAGAGGCACGGCTGAGGGCCTCCCTCCCTAGGAGAGGGAGAAAAACAGGAGAAACTGCGTGACGGTGGGGAGCAGAGGACGCATTTTGAGGCGACAGGCGGAGCTTACAATAAGTAAGCTCTGAAATAAGCGTGATACAGAATAAGGGGGCGGGGCTTACGTGAGAGCCTGAGCCAGAGGTGTGGCTTAACCGGATGTCCGGAGCGAGTGGGCGTGCCCTAAGAAGAGGCGGGCACACAGGACGCAGGCGTACTTGGCTCAGCTCGCTCGCCGGAAGTGGCCTTGGGCTTCCCCTGCCCGCGTCCCGAGCGAATGCGCAGGCGCACTTCCCCTCTCGGGCGCCGCCACCGCCTCCTCTTTCCGATCCTCCACGCCGGCGCCTGGGGAACAGACGCAACTTCCGCTTCCGGGCGGGCTGGCAGGCGGGCGGCGCGGGGCTGCCGGGGAGGGGGGAGGGGGCGGCACTTCCGGTCGGGCCCTCGGGTCTCCCCGGAGCGGCGGCGCCTTCTCCGCCTTCTCGGCCTCCTCCCGGCGGAGACCCCGGCGCCGGTGAGTGACGGGGAGCCTGGCCCGGGGGCCCGGGAGCAGCGGGGGCGGGGGGCCCCGGCCTGGCCAGCTCTGGTTCCCAGAACGTCCCCCCACCCACAGAATGTCAGTGCTTCTCCCGCCAGGCCCTTGCCAGGGGACCCCCAATCACTGCTCCCCGATAAGACCATTCCAGATATCTCCTCCATGAACACCCCCAGATAGGACGCCTGCCAAAGCGCTTTCATTCGTGGCGATCGCCTAAACTGCTCCCAGGGCCCCCAACTAGTGCTTTCTCTTAGGATCCCTTCCACATAACACCCCTCATTGCTTTCTCCAGGACAGCCCCCCAAACGCCATCAGCATTGTCCCCCTCCCCGTGTAGGGCAGCTGCTCGTGAACTATTAGCATCCCCTGTAAGATTACCTCCAGAGTGTTGCATTAATGCTCTGCAGCAGAGCTGCCACCCATTCTCTGTCCATACACAGCACCTCCCCCAAGCTCCTAACCACACCTCCCCTGAATGCCCCCTTCGTTGGTGTAAAAATACTTCTATTCTGGTCAGCACCAGGAATGCCGTTTTTCCTCCTGCAAACCCCCCAATGATTCTTCTTAAGAATACCCTTTTCAGAGCCACTCGCCCCCATGGAACAGCTCCCTCTAGAGTTCATTCACACACACACACACACACACACACACACACACACACACACGCACACACGCACACACAAACACACGCTCTGCCCCTTCAGGTAGAAATACCTGCCTGCTTAGCTCCAGGCTCCCATGAAATACTCCTGCCCCACCTCCCACTCCATCCTCACCCTGGTCAGCTCCTGTCTCCATTACTTCTGCCACGGAACAGTGCCGCGCGTGAGGCTCTGAGGCTTTCCCTCTCAGAATGTTCCTCCTCCCTTGGCATTATCAACTCTTGTCCTGACCTGCCGCTTTTCACCCAGCTGTCGTGCCATCACCCCGGACTCCTTATTGAACACGCTTAGCTTCACTAGGGTGTGACCTCTTTTTTCTTAGGCATTCATTCTTCACTGAATGAATATTCACTGTTCTAGCTGCAGGGCATACAGCCATGAAGGAGAGAAAGATGCACACAGTTCTTTCTTCTTCTGGGATTTTACTGTTTAGTTGAGGAGGCAGATCAGAAACGAGTAAATAAATAAGATAAATGCTGTTCTGTGGGGTTCTCTGAGAGGCTGATGAGTTACTTCGATGTGAAACCTCAATTACAAGAGATAACTTAGCCACACAAACATCTGGGTGACTAGACAGAGGAAACAGCATGCGCAAAGGCCCTGAGGTGGCCATGATTGTGGTGAGTGGAGGAGCAGCAAGAGAGGCCAGTGAGGATGGAGTGGAAGAACTGAAGGGAAGAACAAGAGGGGGGAAGTTTTGGTCTCAAAGGGCCTTGGAGGTGAGGACATTGGGATAAATTATCTGGCCTTTATCAGCTCTACCAAGCCTAGAATGTTCTTCATCCTCTACCACATTCATTCATATGTTCCTTCATAAACACTTGTTCAACTACTGTTTAATGAGCAGCTACTTCACACTGGGGATACAATAGAGAACAAAATAGATAATCATGGTGGGTCCCAGGGATAGAGAGTGAACAAAGGAGGTAACAATCATTGCCTTCATGGAGCTGACCCTCTGGATAGAGAGACCAACAGAAAACAAGGCAAAGAAGTAGAAGATGTGGCATCACAGTTGATGATGATGAGCGGTGAAGAGAGAAATGAAGTAGGATGAGGGAGGTCAGGAGCGTGGGCCTGGGCGACTGGTAACAGTGGTCACTGAGAGCCTCACTCAGAAGACAGTTGAGCAAAGATGGGAAGGAGGTGAAAGAGTGAGCAAGGTGGATACCTGTGAGTCAGAGCACTTCGGGCAGAAGCAACAGCCAGTGCAAAGGCCCTGGGGCAGGAATGGAGCTGGCACATTGGGGGAGCAGCCAGGAGACTGGACTGTATAGGTCATTGTAAGGACTTTGGCTTTTACTTTGAGATGGGGTCACTTCAGGGTTTTGAGCAGAGGAAGGACATGGTTTGGCCTTAGTCCTCCTGTCAGTAAAATGGGAATAACAGTAATACTTATTTTATGAGTTCATTGTGAAGTTTGAATGGGACAAGCCACATAAGACACCTAGCACAATGCTTGTTAGAGTTCAGCAGGTGTCAGTGGCTTCTCCTGATACTAGGTCAAGCCAAGAGACTTGGTATTAGGTAGCAGGGAGGTGGGTGGAGCAATGCATATTTCTGTATAAGGTGGAACGGGGCATCTTCCTTCATTTTGCAGGGTGAAATCTGGAAAGACAGCATGGGGTAGTGGGTAAGAGCATGGACTCTGCAGCCCTACAGTCTGTCGTCAACTCCTGACATTTGTTGGCAGTGTGACTTTGGAAGATTAATTGACCTGCCTGGCCCTCAGTTTCTTCCTTTGTATTTCAGAGTCAATAACTGTAACCATCTTGTAGGGTTGTTGGGAGGATTCCTTGAGTCAACACATGTAAAAGATTTAAAAGTACTTGGCTTATAGATATCACTCAATGTTGTATATTATTTTATGTTACTGTTATTGTTATTAACAGACTAGAATTTCATCACAGGCAGCTTTGTTGCAGCAGAATAGCCCACAGGTCCTGCCATCTGAAAGACCTGGAGGCAAATACCTGCTTTCCCCTTTACTGGCTATATGACCGTGGAGGAATAACTTCTCCCTTCTGTTGCTCAGTTTCCCCACTCATAAAATGGTACCAGTCATGGTACAGGACCATTGTGAGGCATCCAGACAATGGTAAATGCCAAAGTGGTTGAGCAATAAACAAGCGTTGTTAAGATGGTTGCTGTGGGACTTCTGCCCTTTGGTGGAGGAATCTCTTCCCATCATGTTTCTCTCTACATAAAACCCTCCTGTGAAAACTCTCTGTAAAAAGACACCAGTTTAAGGATTGAATACCCTGAGAGGAAATGTCTCAGATTTCCCAGTGGAAATTGTCATGAGCCTGATCAGTTCTGTCCCCCATTACTGTACCCCCTTCAGCATCTGTACACCCTGACCCCAG